CGAAAGGTCAGGGGCAAGGGTTAGGAGGTCATTTGATGCAAGTAGAAAGTACCACACCAGGAATTCTGCACTCTTGCTAAGAAATAGATAATTTAATTTCCTGCCTCGGAAGAACTCTTTGCAAACCAATCAAACCTAGTCTGCAGACTTTCCACGGTTTTTGTTCTACGCAAACATTAACAGTTCTGTTTAAAGAACTATTTGTTAGTTTAACTTTCTGAGAGTCCTTCCATGTATTGTGAAGCAATCCACTTATTCCTCCCAGAAAAAAGGGTGAAGAAACAGATATTATTTGTTGCAGTATGTCGGACACAACTGTCTGATAGAAAAGTTGCAGTGAATCATGCAGAATCACCTCCTGATGTTCTGCACTAAGCAGTACTCCGACCTCCCCACTGAGTTGGATGTAACCCCAAAGAATGTGCTTGTAGAAAAGTTGTGGTCATTATGCAATGTGATATGGAAAAGACAGGTTTTATGCCACACCAATTTATTTCCTTGATTCCCTGACATTTGAAAGGCATCCAGTTTCATGGCGGCAGGACAAAAAATATTCTGGATGAAAAAATCTGTCTGATATTGACAGTTACTGCCATTTCTTATCACATTTTCTTCATTTCATACTTGAAGCATTTGAAATTCCCCCTAAACAAGCCTCATGAGGAGTCCCTTTATTTTTTTTTTTTACCACCAAGAAGTAGAACCAGCCTGCGATACAAAACAAGCAACCGTTTTCCATCAGCAACATCAAATTTTTGCCTCACAGATATCAGTATACTATGGAATAGGATTGACTCAACTTATATAAAATCAATGACCATGTAATCGACTCTAAAAATCCAGTTTTGCTGCCCAGAAATAAGCTAAAAATTGAGCAAGAGAACACTATTGGAATAGAAAGCTGATGAGAAAATGACATGAATTTGACTATATCCACTCCCTGAAACTGTGCTTACCAATGTACAGACTTTCCCCTCAGACTGTGTTTTTTGTTTACTAGTACCTTCTAGCTCAGAATGTAATGTTTTCAAAACCTGAGAATCAATGAATTAAACTGGTGTGGCCTTGTGTAGTCTTGGAATGCACCCCACAGCTTGGACCGTAACAGTGCTGCCTGCAAAAGTTACAAAGTATGACTGTAAATATTGTGGCAAGAGTGACTACGATGAGAGGATGTATTCTGGATGGGACACAGCAGTGTTACATGGTAACTCATGTCCCAGACAGTTTAACACACTATGAGATGGTGAACTGCCCAGACCACTGAAGGGTTTTGAAAACCCACAGGTAGAAAAGAGCCTACAGAAGAGAGTTCCAGCTATGGAAACGTGGGACTTTTTTCACCAAATTTCTTCATCCCTGTTCATTATCCAATTTCCCAGTTTAAAATAGAATCTGGAAGGAGAAAATATTTGCTAAATTGGAATTTTCACCTCTTCAGAGGTTGGATTGATGAAACTTGATGTAACTTGATTGATGTAGAAAGTGTCTACCCTCAAAACTTCATTTTTATGAGAAAGTTAAGAATAAGAAAGTATTTCTGAAAAGAAAAAAGAGAAGTTTCCATAGGTGCCTTCTTGACAACGTGGGACCAGATCTACTAGCCATTTCAAGGAAAAGATAAGAAATTGTGCCATGGTCTCTTAAAGAGTTTGGTCAGGCCATGCTGTGCCTTCAAGGAGGGCTGTCATTTGCCAAGACAGGCGAGAGAATTTAATGTCAAGAAAAACTGTTCCTTACAAAATGTGAAAGAACTACCACAACTTGAAGTCCCCTGGTTCCATGCTTGGATCGTCTCAACTGTAGGTTCTGCTGCAAAAGTGCCAGAGAAAGTCTCACCACTGGATAGATGCAAGTGAAGACTGCCTTCAGCCAAATCCACTTTCTATTTTAAGAAATGGCTTTCTCTCACAGGTGGAAACTAAGCAACATATCTGAACCATTTCTCGCCAGCTGGAGAAAGTCACAAAGATGGTGCAGCTAATGAATTTTGTAAACGAGCAGCTATATCATACCCGGTTCTGATGCAAAGTTGGTCACAATTATGTACATTTAACCAAGAACCAAAATATGACCAAATTTGTACTGTAGCGAAACTGCCATTCAAAAATAACAGACGCTGTGAAACAATGCAATAACATGATGCAATAAGAAACACATCCATTGGATCTTAATTTGTAAAAATATTTTCCTCAAACTGTGAGGATAGCATGAAACACAGTCCACAAGAATGTTATAAGTTATGAATTTTGGTAGCAAATTGAATGGTATTGAATAATGAAAAGAATTATAAATATCTTTGTTGCAGTTTCGAAATTTCAACTGAATAATATTTAAGAAAGGGAGAAACTGACTTTGTATACTGGATATAATTAGAATTTGCAAATAATATGAGTTTTTTTTCCCTTTTTTTGCGTGATTGTTGTTCTCAGTCCATTTGATTGACAAGTACTAGGAAAGGGGATTCTGGCTGAAGGCATCTTTTCATATACATAAAACATGCATTATTTTCCACTACATGTATTACTATATAAACCCTGAGATTGTTTTTGTATGGTGCAAGAGTTTTGTACTATTTTTGAGAGAAAGAAAGTCAACAGTTGTGACTATGGAGTAAGAAGTATCCACTTGTAATGGACGGCC